GGAGCGCCGCTGCGCTTCCCAAGCGGCGCACTATCCAGTGCGCCACCGGGCCGGCCCTAATGGATGGATTTTGAATATCTTTCTTTTTTTTCCTTTTTTTGTCTTTTTTACTGACCGGCAACGGGATCGCAACCCTTGGTGTTGCGCCCGCACCGCGCTCAGCCAGTGAGTGGGAACCGGTCTCCACATGGGATCCGAACCCTCGGCGGGAGCGCCGCTGCGCTCCTAAGCGGCGCACGTGCGCCACCGGGCCGACCCACCCACGAAGCTTTGACAAAAATTATCCATCTATTTGCCCACAAAGGAAACCTCAGTAAATTTAAAAAGGAAGGAATAGTAGAGGCTTTATTTTCTGACAACAACACAAGTAGAAATTAACAACTTAGAAATAAAGACCCTCCAAGCCAAAACAACACAACAAAATACTGGATATGAAAAAAACTTTCTCAAAAACAACTCCTGGGTCAAAGAATAAATGGAAACTACCTAGAAAGTAGTAATAGAAACGTTCCTGTGCTGGCTGTCTTCCCCATGCCCATTCTCTTCTCCTTTTTACTAACACAACATTGATTCGGGAGTGTCAACAACAAGCTAAAAAACCCTGTTTCTCATTCTCCTTTGCAGCTAGGGGTGGCCGTACAATTAAGTTCTCACCAGTAAGATGTAAGGAATTATTGGTGGGTAGGGCTTCGTGTCAACAACAAGCTAAAAAACCCTGTTTCTCATTCTCCTTTGCAGCTAGCGGTGGCCGTACAATTAAGTTCTCACCAGTAAGATGTAAGGAATTATTGGTGGGTAGGGCTTCCGGGAAAGCTTCATAAAATTAAGTGGACTTATTTGGCCTAAGCCTTTGGCATATGTGATGCTAGATCAGCCGTCTTGTAATCATAAGGTGTCTAAAACATGTTAAAGATAAATGAGTAGAAGGATAAAAGAGGTGCTCTTTGTAAATATCCTGGGGTCCATTTTGGCCCTGGATGACCTCTGGGGGGGAAAAATCCTAACTTAAGTCTTAAACTGCTATTTTGGGTCTCTGTTAGTAGGAGCCAACATGATTCTTAAGTGACACAGTTTCATATCACAATTTATGCAATTAAACTAAATAAATAAATAAATAAATGAAGCATTCGAGTCCAGAAGTTAGAAACAAAACAACAAAATAAAATGAAGGAAAGCAGAAGGAAATAATAAAAATCAAACTAGAACTCAGTAAATTAGAAAATTTTAAAGAAATGATCAATAAATCTAAGAGCTACTTCTTTAGGGAAACAACAATTAAAAAATATATATGCATATATTCTACTGGTATAATCAAGAAATAGAAGAAGAAAGCACAAATAAAATTAGATAGTGAGAACTAGATATAGAAGAAATGGAATTATTCATATTTTGCAAAACTCTGTGCAAATAAATTTGAAAATGTGGATCAAATAGATGGTTTTCTTGGAAACTATGCTACTAGACTGACTCCAGAATAGGAAGAAAACTCAAAAAGGCCCCTAAAACTGAAAGACTTGAGACAGCTGTGATCTGTGACCAGTCGGTACTACCCTTCTGGGTCTTCTTTGCCATTGCAGTTTTTCCAAGTTATAGAAATGGAAAGCATTTCTGGTGAGGGCATCTGAGAGTGTGGGGCAGGGTGGGCATCCTGTCCTGCCAGGTCGGCTGTCTGCAGTCGTCTGACAAGGGTGGTCAGAAAGGTGAAGGCAGTGGTTCTCAGCATCAGGACCTATCACAAAAATAAAGAGCCTGAGTCTTCATTTTTGTCATGCCATTTTTCAGATCAATTTGCTACTTGAACTTTGGTAAGAAAAAAAGATTGAAAATTAGTTTTAATCATTTATCCTCACTGTTTGTCTCACAAACAACTGATTCCTTAGAGCAAGAATGTTTTAAACATTATATCCAAATAAATAATATTAAAGATTTATAGTAGGGTTGTGCATAAAAAAGGCTGAAAGTATTTTGAGAGGAAAATTAACAGTATAGAAAAAAAGAAAAATCGTGAGCTTCAGAGCTCCTTAGCTCCTCATTATTTTCATGGAAAAGTACCTTGTTCTCAGGTGGTGGTAACTGGAACATTCTATTGGTTAAAAATAAATAGCATAAAGTGTGAGGAAAACAACCAAGGAAAGAAAAGCAACCAGAACAGCCCCTAAGCCAGAAACAGAAAAATGAAGTTATGCCAAAGGTGTCAGGTCATTACAATAATTGTCTACCTCGGGCCAGGGTTCAAACCCAGTGTTGACAAACACAGTGGTCACATGAGTTCAAAGGCATCCAAGCAGGGCTGTTTGGATGGGTCAGGGAGGGCTGCCAGGGGAGAGGTGCTGTTCAGCATTTGGTCTTTGCTGTTTAAAGTATCTTGTTTTCTTTGAACTTTGAAGATTCTGGCTCATAATTATTCCAGTCTTCATTCAAACAGATGTAATTCTAACCTAGTGTCCTCTTTTTAACCTCATGTTTCCCTGGAACAGTGAACCATGGAGTTGTATTTTGGAGAATATCAACATGTTCAGCAGGAATATGGCGTTCATCTGAGACTCGCAAGTGATGAGACCAAAAAACCAAGGAATTCTCAGCACTCTAAGACAGGCTCCTATGGAGTTAGTATTAGGGTCCAGGGAATTGATGGCCATCCCTACATAGTCCTGAATAATACAGAGCGGTGTCTAGCAGGCACATCTTTTTCTGAAAATGGGCCATCATTTCCATCTCCAGTGATAAATAAAATGCCTGTACATTCCAGCAATGGGTCTGTGCTAGAGGAGAACAGTGCAGAAGAATTACAGCTCCCAGAAAACCCATATGCCCAGCCCAGCCCAGTAAGAAAACTGAAACAGCCTTCTCTCAGTGAGTGCAAGAATGGAATTCTAGATCGCAAAGATGGGCCAGTGAAGCCTTCCCATGTGCTGAACTTTCAGAGGCATCCAGAGCTTTTGCAGCCCTATGACCCTGAAAAGAATGAGTTGAACTTACCAAATCATCAACCTTCTGAGGGTAATTGGTTAAAAACTTTAACAGAAAAAGGTACCAACAATAAGAAGCCTTGGACTTGCTTTTCCAGATCTAGCAATCCCCAGACTCCCAGCCCTCCCTTGGAAGACCAGGCCCAATCCAATGTGACAGCCATTCGCTTATGCAGCTCTGTGGTCATAGATAACCCCCCAAAGCAGACCTCAGTGTGTGTAAATGTTCAGAGCTGCACCAAGGAGGCAGTGGTGGAAGAAGCCCTTTCCCCCAGCAGGAGACCCCTAACTTCCCACAGCCCACATGCTCACAACGAAACTAAGAAAACCAGGCCAGATGTTCTTCCCTTCCGGCGACAAGACTCAGCGGGACCCGTCCTGGACGGAGCTCGGTCACGGAGGTCCTCCTCGTCATCAACAACTCCCACTTCAGCCAACTCTTTGTACAGATTTTTACTTGATGATCAGGAATGTGCCATCCATGCTGATAATGTCAATCGTCATGAAAATAGAAGGTATATCCCGTTCTTGCCAGGAACTGGGCGGGATATTGATACAGGATCCATTCCTGGTGTGGATCAGTTAATTGAAAAATTCGATCAAAAATCTGGGCTTCAGAGAAGAGGAAGGTCTGGGAAGCGAAACAGAATCAATCCAGATGACAGGAAAAGATCCAGAAGCGTGGATAGTGCCTTTCCTTTTGGTCTCCAAGGGAACTCAGAATACCTAACGGAATTTAGCAGGAACTTGGGCAAGTCGAGTGAACACCTCCTCCGCCCATCCCAGGTGTGCCCGCAGCGGCCACCGGTGCAGGAGCACCGTGGGAAACAAAGTGTGGCCCGCACCTTTGCAAAGCTGCAGGGGACAGCTCATGATGTTCAGTGTGGGCCCCCCAGGGCTCCCCAGCAGAACACAGACGGCAGAGTTCCGGAAAACAGAGATGGTCAGGAAAGTGTGATGATTTGTGCGTCCTCTCTCCCAGCACAGAGTAAAAAGGAGGAGGAAATAAAAACTGCCACTGCTACATTGATGTTACAGAACCGAGCTGTAGCAACTTTGCCTGATTCTGGTGCCAAGAAAATTTCTGTGAAGACGTTTCCTTCCACCTCTAATACTCAGGTAACACTAGTGTGATTCCTGTTTTATTTGTTGTTGTTTGTTTTGTTTTCTTTCTAAGTGATCCAAATGATACACTCATGCTGCAGGAGGCTGGAGGAATACATGCCCTCAATCTTAAATCAGTAATTGCAGATCTGACTTTTTAAGGATCAGATTATATCCTATAGATTATGTGCTATTACCAACTATATAGTTTTCTAGGTTATTTCAAATACAACTAGATTCCCATGTGGTCTTTCTGTAAAGTAACTGGTCAAACACTACAGAGAGGCTCAATTTTTCTGTTTGTATATGTGTGAAATCTGAAAGTATGCAGAATTTGTTTCCACACAGAGGTTCAATGGTTAGATTTATGTAGATGTGTGTTAATTGCCCTCCTGAACTTGAGTGACTGGGTTAATTTCTAGCCTGAGAAATTAGGTTAGCCCTAATTTGGGTTAACTGTAGAGTGATGGAATCTAAGTGGCACATTTAATGTTTTGGTAGTAACAATTAAAAATAATGATATTTATAAAAATGATAATAAGGTTGGTAAATGTCAGGCACTATTTGTTGTATATTATAGGATTGTGCCAACCTATGAAGATAGGTACTATTAATCTCAATTTATAGGTGAAAAAATTGAGGTGACAGAGCTTGTAAGCTCTGTTGGAACTGGCTGTAATGAGGATGCTTACTGGAGGAATTGTTTTTGGAAAGTAGGAATGTGTTTGGAAGCTGCCGCTTCAGGGTTTTGCCTACTTCCTGGGAACGTCCTCCTTGCAGTCTAATAACAGACATTATGTTCTAGGCCACACCGGATCTCTTAAAGGGCCAGCAGGAGCTCACCCAACAAACCAATGAGGAGACGGCCAAGCAGATACTTTACAATTACCTCAAAGAAGGGTGAGTGATTTTGTTAAAGAGCGAAGTATTCATTTCGGGTGGGACTCTTAATTTTCTTTTCTAGGCCTTGTGTTTTACCCTCCCTTCCTGCCCTGTGTGAGCTATTTGAGGGTTAAGACTCCATGGCTGGAGTTTTCATAATAGCGTTGAGGTCCTGGGTGGTAGGGGGTGGGTGGTGGGACTCTTAATTTTCTTTTCTAGGCCTTGTGTTTTACCCTCCCTTCCTGCCCTGTGTGAGCTATTTGAGTGTTAAGACTCCATGGCTGGAGTTTTCATAATAGCGTTGAGGTCCTGGGTGGTAGGGGGTGG